CATGATGCTGGCTTTTGGTGTGGAACGGCCATGGGGTAGGGGCAGCTGATGCTCATGATGCTGGCTTGTTTGGTGTGGAATGGCCATGGGGTAGGGGCAGCTGATGCTCACGATGCCGGCTTTTGGTGTGGAATTGCTATGGGGTAGGGGCAGCTGATGCTCATGATGCCGGCTTCTGGTGCGGAATGGCCATAGGGTAGGGGCAGCTGATGCTCATGATGCTGGCTTTTGGTGTGAAATGACCATAGGGTAGGGCCAGCTGATGCTCATGATGCTGGCTTCTGAGGTGGAATGGCCATGGGGTAGGGGCAGCTGTTGCTCATGATGCTGGCTGTTGGTGTGGAATGGCCATGGGGTAGGGGCAGCTGATAATCAACATCAATCGGTCGGGACGTTACCTACCCTCTCCCTACATTCAGCCTGCGATCCTTACTCTTTAACCCTGCGAAGGGTTGTACCGGGGGTTTCAGAAAAGCCATGCCAATCACAGCTCTCCTTCTGGAAGTGATCGCGAGAAGGCCTAGAACATTTTGGGGGTATAGGGGGTTCTAGGGTTTATGGGCACCCCAAGTGTGAGAAATACCCAGCTTAATCGGAGGATATTGGCGCCCCCCCCACAGCTAAAATGACTGACGACAGTACAACTCTCATACGGCAATAGTCAGTGACGATAACAAGGTTCTTATTTCCTGGGTTGCGTTCCTGACACCGTTCGAATGATGCAAAAAAACAACGCGATGAAGCTGGAACTGCCTGCTGATTCTGCAAGCGCCCGCAGGGCAAGCACATGTTGCCAGCGATTTGCCTGCACGCGCGCGTGCTGGGATTCTGAAGACCCCCGATGTGAGGTGCTTGAGGGCTCATACTGAAAAAGGAATTTCCAAAGATTAGGTGCCTCTTGTTGGCATGTTGGCAACCCCTATAACAAGATTGAGCTATACTGGGGTCTATACACAATCCATTAATGGAACCTCCCCAAACATATCGCGGGAAGTCCAGGTCAGCACCCCAGAGCCTGCAAATTAGATGTTTCCTTGGTGTAAACTTGAAATAAATCACCTCCCCCTCCCTAAACCTTGCATCCTAAACCCTAAACCCCAAATCCTGAACCGCGGGTTATTCAGAGAGGATATCTTAGGATTTCGTAACCCCAACCCCTGCCATAAGGGCCCTGGAAGATCATATAAGAGTCATAGGATCCCCATTTTGGGTTTGGAGCTGGCAAAGCCCTAAATTGCACTGCTTACGATGAACATCCACATTCCTGCAATGGCTGCTCAATCGCTCAGGCCTCTGTGGGCAGATAACACAAGATAAGTCTTGGGAGCACGCAGAGTACGCTGCCTGAATGCACCACTGTCTACTTAGCAATCTTTGGAAGACAAGCCGGCGAATTACAGATGAAGCCAGAGCCTATGAATCCCTGAGATCCGAATACCCACAAATGGTTTGTAAAAGGATGTTCATGTATGATCTTTTGAACTGGGCACCCCAAACAAGCACTTACAACAAAATCCAGCGAACCCTATATGCACGCACTGCCAAACCACGAACCATGTTTATCTTACCAGCCACGACGCTTTTCTCACCAATCCCGAATCCAAAGTGTCCACGTGGACCCCCCGGGGTTATGCCCCATCTCCACCCACAGTTTTACACCCAAACGCGCACACGTTACAGTGTCATAAGGAGACAAAAATACTGGGGTTTCTACAGCAGGGGAGAGTAATACTGCTCTTGCGCCCGCCCCTGGTTGTAATCCAACAGCCCTAAACCCTAAGCCATAAAACATCCCTAAGCCCTATAGTCCCCCCTCTTTAAGTAAATAGAATGTGGCTTTGGGTATGTTATATAATATGATCCCCATATACCCAAAGCCATGTTTTATCTACTTCATAAGGGGACTATAAACCCGAAATTTCCCAACCCCTCATTGCCTGTCTGCAGGCCCCTGCGGCAGCCGCGTACGAAACTTCGTCTCTTTGAAGGCCTAGACATCCGGTTTAGGGGTAGGGTTTCGGGTTTAGGGTTTGGGGTTTATAGGGTTTCGGGCATAGGTTTACGGCTTATAGGGCTAAAATACTGTAAGGGCCCCCCAGAACGACCAATCAGCTTGAACAATTTGGGGTCCGTCTGAGGAACTCTATACAATCTGTACAACGTGTAGAAGTACAATGATGACATTTAGTTAGGCCCCTGTATGAGGGGGCCTTTAACGACTGGAGGCACAAGGATTAACAGGGCTTGGGGCTTTTTTACGAAGAATCCTGTAGAGCTTCAAAGTTCGTCAAACCCTGCCTGGATCTCTAGCGCAATCTTTTTTGGATACCAGTAGGTGCGAGGAAAACCTTGAAAGGGGACTTAGGTACTCCGGAAAAGGATCACGGCATAATGATCCATAGCCTAAACTCCTAGTATCCCACCTACTAAACCCTACAATGCTCCCCTATATAATCTTCGATCAGGTCAGGTGTGGTCGAGCTCCTGGCTTGGCAAGGGCGGTTGAGGACTCTCAGCCTTCCAGCTTAAGGCCCTACACATAGGCCAAGCAACCACACAGTCTACCGTAATATCCGTAATCGCCCCAGACACATAAGCATATTGTTGTTTACAGTTCCTTGTGCTTATGCTACAAGAAAAATACTGAAGGGGTACAAATTCAACGGCTGGGGAAGGATTTGGATGGCTCCCTGACGTGTATAGAGAAGCAGCTCCTTCAAACTCAAGTGTCGCGTGGCAAACAACATCCAGGGCGTGGGTCCTGCTGTGACCGCTCGGGATGTAACATCCCTGCCGAGATTGCTGGCCTCTTCTTTTTTGGACCTGATGGTGTCTAAAGCATGATAGAAAGGGTGACCCAATCGCGAAGGCCCAATTAATTGAGAGAAGGGACCGATCTAAATGAATCGCTTCTCCGCAATGCTGAGCCCTTGCCCCAACTACCCCATTGACTGCGTAATGCATTGTATAATGGCACTGTATCACGCGGATCTACTATTAGTGGACTGGGGGGGGCTCTAAGCCCTAAACCAAAACCTTAAATAACACGGTAGTTATTCTAATACCCTGTATGCCCAACCTCAAATCCTATTCTCTTGGAGAGAGGATTAAACGGTAGGGGTGGGCTATTATTAGGGAAAGATTGTGAACTCCTTTCGAAGCCTGATGACTCATGTCTCTCCCATGGAAAACTCGAAGTTTGCTGGCATTAGGCATGTACCAGTACCAAAGTCGCTTGCCTTGTAGGGCCCCAACCACCCCAAAAGCGCCAAGCGCAGTCCCTGAAAAACTGCGAAGCACTCCAGTGCAATTCCAATATGGCGAATTCCGTAAAAAAGGGGAACACATTGTACACCCCAAGTGTGTACTATAGACACCTCGGGAAAGGGACACTAATTTTCGGAAACCCTAAACCCTACTAGTCCCTGTTTTCCCTATAACCTGTCAAAAAACCATCTGTCATTTGCACACAGGAAGGATTCAGGCACCTACTCTCCTGCACACCCTAGCTGCTGAAGTACATTAAGGCCTAGGTACACTCAACTCTCAGCCCTAAATCCTAAGCCCTGAACCCTACATCCTCAACCCCAAACCCGTTTTCCCAAATCCTAAACGCGAAAAGCCCTGAACCCTAAACCTTAACCCCTGAATCGTAGTTTGCATTTTCTTTTCCATTAACCCAATATAATCACAATGCAACCCTAACGTTACCCCAATGGGTACCTAAATCTCCCCTAAACCCCATATCCTAAACCCGGAACCCCAATGTACCATAATATACCATAGTATACCACCATATCCCCTAACCCCAAATTCCATTAACCTTATCCTTAGATAATGCCAATATATAATCCTATATAACCCTATGTACCCCCTTTAAAGGGACCTAAGCTTTGCATTTTAAAGGGAAAATATTTACCCTAATGGGTACCTATATCCCCTTACCCCAAAACCCTAAACCTTAAACCCTAGACCCCAAACCCAATATACCATAATGTACCATAACATACCATAACATACCATAACACACCATAGTATACCTTGGGTACTGCCACCCCTCACTAACAGTTGGATAATAATTAATAATATGGTTATATATAGCCCTTAATAGGACCCCTAATATAGACTGTTACTGGGTGGGGGCAGTACCCAAACCATAATATACCATAACATACCATAGTATACCACTGTATCCCCTAACCCCAAATGGGGAAGCCGCCTCCAGCGGCTTCGCGGCGCAGCAGCGCCAATGCCTCGAGCCAACGCCCCAGCCTTAGGGCTTGGAAGTGAAGGGTATAGGGGTCTAGGGTTTAGGATATAAGGGTTTAGGGGTTTAGGGTTTAAGGATTTAGGGGTTTAGGGTTTGGGTTTTAGGGTATAGGGGTTTAGGGTTAGGAAGTGTAGGGTATCTAAGGTTGAAATTTATATGCTTTACAATCTTTATTTTAGAGGGTAGGGCTTGGGAAGTAGGAAATGTATGGTTTCGGGGTTTTGGTGTATGGTTGATAGAGCTTACAGGGTTCAGGGCTCATGCAGGATTCATGGTTAGGTTTTAGGGTTCAGGACCCCGTTTAGGGTTTAGGGCTTGGAATTTCCGACATCAAGCAGTCAATAATTCCTAGGATGTTTGGAGGTAAGGCCCCTAAACCCTAAACCCCTCAACCCTTGTGGGATAGTTTAACAATGGGAAAAATGGGAACCCCACATGCGCCACCTGTAGAACAACCCCATCTGGGTTTAGGGTTTAGGGGTTTAGGGTTTAGGGGTTTAGGATTTAGGGTTTAGAGTTTAGGGTTGATATTCCCTTTATTCTCCATAGCAGTGGGAGTTGGGACAAGCATCGGCTGGACAAGGCCTGGAGTTTATGGAAGTTTCGCAAAATTAGGGGCACCCTTGAAGGGGTTATAGGAAATATATATGCAGGGATCAAATAGGGACTACATAAAGAATTCGTTGAGATTAGGGTTTCCCAAAATTAGGGGTACCTTTAAAAGGTGTTATAAGAAATCCATAAGGGACTATATCGAGAGTTAAAATATATGCGGATTCGGGTTTCAAAAAATTAGGGGTACCTTCCTTGGGATCCCATAGTAAGCATCATGATAATGAGGGTCTAAGTTGGGGTCTCCCTATTTATGGCAATTACCATATGACTACTCAGATCCTTAGTGGTCCTTAGCCCCTATACTCAAGGGTTGTTAGGAGGGACCCCTAGAAGGGACCCCTAATCCCATTACCTTATATAACCCTTATATAGGCCTCATATACCCCCTATATAACCAGGTAGTACCCATGTTACCCCCAATAAGCTACAAGGGTCCCCATTAAGGGTCCCTCCTAAAGCCTTTAGATATACCCTAACCGCGAACACACAAACTGGCTGAGATACTCAGTGCAGGCCATCATTGCGGCATTGCGGGCCGATACTATGACAGCCAGCCGCATCGTGGACGCCTACCAGTTAAGGGGCTGGGGCTCAGGGAAAAATTGCGAAGGACGGACCCCAACTCCCAAACAGCCTTACAAGACCTACGCAAACAATCAATCTGCGCAAAACAAACACGAAAAACACAGAACCTAAAACACTTACCTATCTGCTGCACGAGAACTGCTGTGCGCGTTGCAGCATGGGAAGTTCCACATATTATATGGAGTACCCAAAGATGAGGGCTACCTTCTTGACAGTCCTGAGAAGCAGCTTCCAGGTTACAGTCCTAGTTTGTTGGGTAGGAGGGGAGCATTCTTGGAAAGACCATGCAATACCCATACAGACCGCAAGATATCGACACTAGCGTCTTCGCCACTACATGACTCCAGCATCCTAGGCTTGACAAGTTTCCGGTCATGGCACCATGGCTCCAAGACGGGCCGTAGCCCTACCAAGTACCCAAATACTGGGGCTTTAGGTCCCACATTTTTCCATCTGGACAGTCTTAGGGTCCCAAAATCCTGGGGTTCGACAATCATGACATCATGCAAACGCAACGAAGGCTCGATGTCCCTCATCACCTCTGTCCGAGGCGTGCATTCACCTTATCCATGTTGTCTTATCTGTCATTCAGGGCTTACAAGGCGAGAGAAATGCACAGTGGGGTACCGGCAACCGGCCCCACATGCTTCGATTTTAGGAATGCCTTCGGCAAGTGAAAACTAAGAAGTCTGGCGGCTGTAGGCATACCAAGCTGTTGCAAAGAGTTTCGATTCTGTCGGGCCACTTCAGTGCACGCATGTTCTCACCGACTTCCAAGCATCAAAAACCAGCGACACACGGAACTCCAAAATCTGCCCTAAACAACAAGAGGCCTTGGCCTGGCAGGGAGAATGCTCCACGCTGCTCATGCGTCTGCTGCTGATCACTGGCCTCCCCTGCCGACAGCATACATCCTCCTCACAAAGAGTTCAAGCCAGGATGCAAGAGTTACCATGCATGGTGCCCAGAGCACCCACCTGGCAGGTTTGCTCCCCAGCAGGCGCTTTAGCCCATCGCCCTGCTGTCATGCGCCACCTTCACCCATGGTGCGTTGGCCCCAAGGAGCATTGGGGATACCCGTGCATGCTGTGCCCCACACCTGGCCACTGGTGTGGAAGGAGTGCTTGTATGGGGTGATGCTTTCTCCTTCCGGGTAGGGCTCGTCACAACCGCGAGTGGCTGCGGCTTTAAGTTCACGCCACGGTCATGTGCACCAACCAGAATCGGTCATGTGCACCAACCAGAATCGGGCGCAACAACCATCACATGATAGGAAAAATGCCAAAGCACATTGCAGAGCTGCTGCAGTACGAGCACAAACCTAGCGTACATGGATTTGTGAAGAAATCGGCACAGGTAACATACCTGCACAGAAGCCACAGCCTCCATCTGCACCAGACTAACATCCCAAGTTGCACATGGAAAACGACAACTTTGTCAGCTAAAGCTCAGCGATGAAGTGGCCTCCCTGTAGCATGCTTATAGTGTTATATAGGGGTATGATATTGGGATTATGGAAAAGAAAATGGAAACTATTGTTTAGGGTTTAGGGTAAGTCTTCATAGGGACAAATACAGCTGAGACTGACAGGTGCAGTCGGTATAGCGAAAGCATGTAACCTCAGAGCAGCACCACCATGCCTGCTGCATGTAATCCAACGCTTTGCTCCAGTTCATGGCATTCTGGCAAGCACCCAGCACCTGACGCAATTTACAGTTGGGTGCTGGACTCTTGAGGAATATGTGGAATCAAGCCCCTATCAAGTATCAGTCGGCAATGGGGGTAAGATCAATGGCCAATATCCCAGGAATATGTGGTAATTCCCCTAAACAAGGCGACCCCAATAAACTTGACTTCTTTTTTATGGGGGCCCAAAAAATAGTACCCCTGATTCTAGGAAACCGCCCCTTGGCGCAAAGCATCTGCACAGCTTGCCGCTCCCAATGTACGGTAGCTTCTCAACATGCTCCTTACACTATAGAGGTAATATATAGGGACAATATAGTGTAATATAGGCGGAATATAGGGATGATATAGGGATAATGGAAAAAGAACATGGAAACTACGACTTAGCGTTGTTAATCAGCCCCCTTCCTTCTCAGGGTCTCAATTTTAGGATCCCGATTGTAATCCATATAAAGCGGAAGGGTTTATTCAAGGGTCTACATTATGCCTGCACCAGGGGCTCTTCTTCCCCTGTATCCCTGGCTTATTACCGGTACGTTTTTTGAAACGACCCCTTCTTGACTCGGGATTCTCCTGCCTGTTGTCCCTGCCAAAAAATCATTATGTTGAGCTCCGTGCCTGTATCTGTGAAATCCAGGCCGTATTTTCAAAAGACTTATTCTGTTCCAATGGACCCCCTGCAAAAGGGAACTCCAAACCCTAAACTAATCCATTTGCAGAACAGAGGAATCCTTGCAAGAAATTACAATTACTGGGACCGGGACCCTAAGTGGATGGAGGGGTCAGGGTGCAGGAAGATGAACAGACCTAAGCTCAAAGGGCTATACTAGTTGGGGTGGTTCAGGGTTTAGGGTTTGGGGTTTAGGGTTTGGGTTGGCAGGAAAGGGTGCAGTATCTTGAGCATACCGAGCAACCCTGTCAACAGCATCATCTGTGACCGAAACGGGCCCTGAACTCTTTCAAAACAGGGTGTGCTCCTAAACAAGCGCTCCCTCTTGTGAGCTCTCCATAAAAGGAGCCTTGAAGCCCCAATCCATGAGGTCTACAAACCTAAGCCCAAACAACAAGCCCAAGCCCCAAAACCCCAAAACCCCATGTGACGCAAAATGCAGGGCTAAGGTTTTTTGGTTTCAACGTTTCAGGGTTCTGTCTTTGGGTTTTAGGGAGTTTCGGGAAAGCACGCGGGCAAGCTCAGCCAAGCCACTGTTGAGAAACCAATAGGGTCTGGCTCCTTGCACGCGGAGGGTTTGGCGGGCCGAAAAATTCGGTGCTTCTCGGACTAAAGGGCTCAGGGTGATGTAGTGACATAGTAGGGTTTAGGGTTATAGTCCC